ATCCAACGCCTTTTCTATTATTGTCAGAGCTATTGTGGTGTTGAAGACACGTAAGCTAGTTGTAGAATTTCATCTAAACATTGGCATATAGGTAATACAGGTTGGGACTATTTTTCGATAATGTAAAGCCTCATTTCTTAGAACCGGTACTTTGTAAGAAACCGGTAGTTTAATGCTTCCTCTTCAAATTGGTTTGAGTTACCATGTGCTAAAATGAAAATGGACTTCAATTAAAAAATCTTTGTCTGCACCTTACCGGAAGAATCGTGAAGGGGGAGGTCCAAGCAATTGTATTATTATAGTTTCGAGATGTGATGGCCTCTTATCTCATCCTTACAATCCGCTATGTGTTAGACATGCGGGCGATCACGTCGTGTGTCAGAAGACTACCACAATAAGAATGTTTTAATATATGTTTTTGAGCTTCTGGCGCCTCATATCGAAATTTAGCGCTCGCCTTTTCTCGAGAGTATTAGTTTTTCACGTGAAACATTATGACGACCGCGATATATATACACCACCTGTCTTCTGACTAGTATTTCAAAGGACTGCACACTTTCTACTATTTCCTGAGTATTCCAAAAGCTGCCAATCATATGACTAAATCCTTCAAGATATATGGGAAGCGCTAGAAATTTGGAATCACTTGAGGTCATGAACGTTGCAGTGTCATGCAGTGAAAGTTTTATTTTTCAGATGGACCATTTTCGTAGTGACAGCCCAAACTTGATCTTGCATTTAAAGGGATGTCATAAATATGGACATTGTTACGCTGCCCATAATTTTTGAGATTACCTTAAACCAAGCTTTACGCCTGTGAAATATCAACATGTACACATAGTATGGAAACAAACATCGTATCCATTGTGATAGTAGGCTCACCGGGAGACGGAAAGTCCTGCTTTCTCATGATTATTGCATTTTACCTGGCGCGCATCAAAAGGAAGAAGGTGCTTGTCATACGTCGCTTGGTAGAACTCAATCTAAAGAACGTTGTGGTGTTTCTCGATAGCCAAGGACTGTACGCACGACTAACAAATCTCTCACCGATTGATATCGTGGCCTTCCGTGACAAGTTACTCCCAAGTTGATTGAGGGTAAGGTCGATGAGAAGGAGGCGCCAATTGTTCTGGTTGATGGCGTTAACCCGGCAGAAGTGGACGACACGAAGAATGAGTATGCTCCTTTTTCATTTCTTTGCAACATCGTGTCTGTTTGATGCGAAACTTGACGACAGCTCACGCATTGTGGTTTTGCCGGCGTGGCGTGATGCCAACCTGCTGCAGTACACGAAGTTAACGAACTGGGTTGTCGATTCTGGTCTACGCAAGATCAAGCGGCAGAAGACACCGGTGGCGAAACTTGTTAAGGAGCAGTACTTCTATAGTGGCGGCAGTTTGCGCGAGTTCTGTAAGAATGGAGCTCGCCTGAAGAGCGTACTACTGTGCCGTGGAAAATGATCAAGCGTTTGAGTTGGTGTACAACTATGGTGGGGGACAAAGCAAGAGCCACGTGGATCGTTTGCAGCGTCACTACATCACTGACTGCAACCGAAAAGTGGAATACCATGACAGTCGATGGTGGATAATCTGTGAATTCCGGATAGTTGGGGCGGAAAATTGACACGGACACGCAGCTAGAGGCTTACAAGTATGCAAAATCTGTCGGTACCGGTTTCCATGGCGTCGCGTACATACAATTGCTTCACGACGCAATTCGTGGGCATTCGTAAAACGTACACCGGTTGTGCTGAAGACACGGGAAGGGTCGAAATACGAAAAAATTGAGACCTGGGTGCCCAACGTCATTTTGGCGGCGAAAATGAGGAATCGTGCTATCGTTGCCTGAGCACACTTGAAAACGATACTTACTGGTTCCCGACATACCGTTCTTCCCTTTTATCGACGCAGTGACTACGTGTGAAGCGTTGCCAAGTAAAGGTGGGTCTGGTGACGAGGGTCAGAATCTGTCGACCAAGTCCGAGACGATAGTGGCTTATATTCAGGTGACGATTCGAAGCGAGAAAACGTTCAAGGAAAAAAGATTGTGCCATAACAATTTATTGCTGAAAAACACGAAGCGCGCCTTACTCCGGTATCTGCCAAGACCACAGACACATCTGATTTTGTCATCACATTTACAGCCACCGAGATATGCTGTAAGATATTTATCGTAGCTAGTACCAGCTGGTACATAGTTGAGAATTTTCATGTTCGATGTAGCAATGCACATGTAGCTGGGATTTTTGATGATAGATTTATTGGTTCGGTACCAATAACGGCAAACAAGCCCTGTTTAATCAAGTTAATGTCGTATCGACCAAAATTGAAACCAAATACTGTTACCTAATCAATTTGCTGTTTTTGTTTCCTGCAGCAGGGCTGCCGTAGCTAAGCGCTTGCTTTAGGTCACCGACCTTTCGTTTTTTACAAGAACCGAGTATGAGTTAGCGGATCGCAATACGCTTGCTTCAAGAGTGATTCTTGCCTTCCCAAGGCTAATTGACTCTTTGGTTTGAATTCAGAACTGAAGGTCAGATTTTCCTAAATATACTAAATATATATAGTAAAATCTAAACACAATGGCTACCTAGCCACGTATTCATGTTTGAGTGCAGTCACACCATGCACATCTCGTGTGACACACATCCCTGTTATCAGAATTCATGTAATCCCGTTACACTTCCCGTAATCAGACCTTTGCTTACCAAAGCCAAGGCTGCTATGAAAGGCAAAAAAGCTGGCATACTTTCCTTGTTCAATCCAACCCTCCACATCAGACATCTTACCAAGATTGACTCCTGGAAATTCCATACCTGTCAGACCGTGAACGTTGATGATTTTCGGTAAAAGCGACCTATACTTATTGACATTGTACTACTTGATCTTTACATATAAACACAAATGTATTTGAACATATCCGTAAGAAGCATCTTCGGATCATTGTTTACAAAGTAACGCGCCTCTTCGGTTAAAGTATCAGGTACTGATACAGACACCGGGATACGATCGTTCGTGAAGACAGTATTCTCTCCATGTTGAGGCGAGGTAGGCTTAAGGATGGTCTTAAAGTCATAAACGATGAAGTGATCAATGTACTGGTCAGTATTCTTGACTAAATACTTCGTAAGCAGTGATCGTATTGCGTTATGAGCTGTTTTATAGACAGTTAGCTCAGCTGGGAATCTTTTAATATTCACGAGCTCGCACAGATACTTTTCGTGATTTTTAACTCTTTCAGCGCTGTTCAGACTCAGGACATTAATATTTATCCTGAAGCATATCAATGTTCTTGATGTGAAGAACATGATTCTCGAACGATAAATATCCATAGCTTCATACCCCTTGTCCGGTCTACGATTGCATTCTACATTTCAAGAAACTACATCTTTCTATACACGTTATACCAAATTAGAAACGTATTGAACGTCATCGAGCTGTAGTAGGTCAATGGGCTGGAAAACCCTCAACAGGATCATGAATACTTAATCCCCTTGAAAGAACACTTGCACTAGAAGGCCTCCTTTACCTGAGCTTGAATTTTTCGAGGATCTTTCTTTACGTCCGGTCATGCAGTGGAAGATGCACTTGTTGTTGGTTTTGGGAAAGTTGATCACGTGCTTGTTCTCGCGAATAATATTAGGGATGACAGCTTCGCTATCTCTGAGAGAATGCTCGCGATGGCAGATAAAAATCTTGAGCGCAGTGATAGCCTTGAGCTTCTGTCCAGAGCTGGGGGTAATTCATTTTGTCAGTCAACTCCATAGAACGGATTGCCGAATCACCTTCTTTTGAATATTGATAGCAATAGGATTAGTGAATACATGAGTATTATTGAGATTTGGGTAGAAGTAGGGAGTGTGATTAGGATTGGTTCTACTTACAAGTTCGTACCCGAGAGCAATATATATATCAAACGCACTCGTTTGAGTTGAAAGGACGTTTAAGAGCTTGTTGTAGAAGTCAGAAGACTCAACACCCTCGTGTAAGTGTGATTCCATGTGATTACCATTGTAAAAACGGTTCTTAGGATCAGCCTTGTAGTCAGGCGACAAGTTTGTCTCAAGGGTTTCAATCGGAACATTCTACTGACTTTAAAATCGACTTTATATCTTAGTCATTCACAGACATTTCGAAATTAATGAATTCAAATATTTGACTCATACCTTTCTGGAGGTTTTATGCCATTATCATTCTAGGGTGAAAGCTTCGGCAGATAATCCACACGACTGTATTGGGATTGACTTTTTATTTGAGAAAAATAATTTATTTGATTTGGTTTGCTCTAAGATTTGCTAAGTTCAATTTTGGGCTCACGCTTGCGGAGCACGATCTGCTGTCTATTCTTATTGTCGTAGCTCTTTTGGTATGACAAGCGAGCGTCGCGTGTGCGCTGATAGCAGCGCTTCTTGGTGATGCCCAGGAGAGTACGCCGTGTCACGATATTACTAACTTAATTTTTATCACGATCGATCATATACGTGGTCCAACCTTTACTTGGAACGCTTCACACGTGGACTACACGTCAAGAGAGGTGTTAGAAGATAATGTCGCAGTTGTATGTCTATTTCTTAATGACTCGGAATTGTAGATGGAGATTGGCTTAATGTGATTGTGTGGTGACTACATGCTCATCATTGAAGGCGTGACCCAAAGGGTAAAGTTTAAATTTTGTTTTGGGTACACGATGGAATTTCTTGCCAAAACTCACGTTTTTTTATCCTTTTGGTTGGTGATTGTTGAAGGCTGCGACGATGTGTCTTGCGGCACCGTTGGGTAAATGCTTACTAAACGTTCTTCTTTTATTTTTAATCTCGGCCTAAAGCCTTATTCTTCTATACTTAGGGCTGACAGAATCGGCTGAGCTCTCAAGCAATAACCCCCTGCTGATGCGCTAGAGTAGAAAACCAATACTGTCAAGTGAGATGTCTACCACCAAGCGTATCATGTCGCATATACTGGCGTTGATCGATGGGAAAGCGCGTCGTCCTAGAGCACGAAAGCTATAACGGGGTTACACGTACCTGGTAACAGAAGTGTTTGTCACACGATATGGGCATTGTGTGACTGCACCCAAATAAGATTACGGAACGTGGCTGGGTAGCCAGTAGTTATGCATGTATTTAGATTTTACTATTTATATTAAGGAAATATCTGCATTTAGAATCAGGCGGCTTTGCCGCAGATAAAACAAATAAATACAGTTTACATATTAAACAGAAGACTTTACCAGCATTGAGTTAAGGTTCTAACTACTCTTGGAGGTAACGGATTGCGATTCGCTACACTCCTACTGGTTCCTATAAAGAACGTAAGCTCGGTGACCTAAATTACGCTTCCTTTAAGCGCAAAGCTACGGCAGCCCCGCTGCAAAAACGCAAAGCCACACGCCGCTGCTGATGGCCAAGATATGCTGGCTACGGGAGTGGAAGATAGCTGGATATGAACTTTACCAAAAGCGGCTATTTCGCCTGATTACAGCGCAAATAGCCTTGGTCTCTTCGCTTCGGTGCAGTCAGCGCAAAAAAGATTGCAGAATGATTGAGGACGACGTCGATTTTGCTTTTAAACAAATGGAACTTTCCATTTATGACACGATATTCGTCACGATACATTGAGTATCATAAGTTTCCACGAATGCAAAAGGCAACAAAAAAAATAAGACTCCCATCTATCAAAGAGCCAATCCGAGATCTAAGCTACCGGAATCCTCACGCTAGGATTAAGCTTCTTTAATGCGGGATGCTGGTAGCTATCCGCCCTTTTGGCAGTCATTCATTACACCATGGGACCTTTTCAAGCAGTGGATCCCAGCCACCCAGCTTTCACACATCCATTGGGAGGATAGACACACATTTAGTTGCAATTGCTCGTCTACTAGAGTGTCCTATCTCCGGCTGCCTCACTTCAGATTCTATGGGTACTACCTTCCGGTCCCCTAGCAACTTGAGCTCAGGGTCGGTAGGAGTAGAGAAAATTCAAAATGTTTTAAGGCTCCCTTAAAAGTATAAAATACCGAGCCTAATCTGGTGCTTGCAGAGTCCGAGTGTCCCACTCTAAAAATTGAGATCTGTGTCCATAGCACACTGAATTTGTAACTATAAAAAGAGCTTAATTTGTCGCTACTGAGCCCAGATGGCCTAATTGACCCTAGGAGTAGGCGTTTTAAGTTCTGGCGGGCTCTTTTTTACCTAAGCTACAAAATCCTTTTTAAACCGTATGTATTTAAGTTCATTTCTCAATATTTCGTGCCCCAGTCAACTAACATGAAGGCGCTACGTGCCGCCGTCTCAGGCTCGCGCGTGCGATTCATGCAGGATGGATTCGACCTTGACCTGACATATATCACACCAAAGCTCATTGCAATGGGATATCCGGCCTCGGGCGTTGAAAAGACGTACAGGAACGATATTAATGAGGTTGCGAACTTCCTAAACTCGCGTCATCCTTACAGCTATCGCGTATATAATTTAAGCGAGCGTTCGTATGACTATACTAAATTTGAAGGACGTGTGAATGAGTGCGGCTTTCCGGACCATCATCCACCACCTTTACAGCTCTTGTTGGATATTATCAACGACATGATAGAGTGGGTTGCTAAGAGCTCCAAGCACGTTCTTGTGGTACATTGTTTGGCTGGGAAAGGCCGCACAGGCGTCGTCTGCTCATGTTTTCTCCTTCTCATGGGCTACTATGGTAGCGTCTTCAAATTGCGCAAGGAGCATGAGCTTAGAGAACTGGCAAACTCGAGCATTCGCGACTTTTGGAGTGCTCGAGGCCAAGGAGTGCGATTTCCAAGTCAAGCATTATATATATATTACTTTCTTAAAGTTTTGCGCAGAATGGGGCGCGTGCCCACGCAAATTCCACCGCTTCGACCGGCCAAGAAGATGCTGCTACGAACCATCGTGCTCAATGGCGTGCCTGATTTTGAAGCCCCTCCGCATGGTGGATGCACACCATTTTTACAGGTACTACCGGCGCCATCGCAGCATCATCAACCTCAATTGCTCTACAATAGCTCATGGCAAAATCCAAAGTTTGAAACTTATCTGGCTGACCCCTTTGGATCCATTATGTTTGAGGTACGTACTATGGGGTTCAGGGTGCGAAGTGTGACGTTTGATGGACTTTTGGATTCTGAATTTTCAGATCAATGTGGAAGTTCAGGGTGACGTTTTGGTAAGGTGCTTTCATGCTAACACGACTAACATTCTTGGCAAGCGCATGATTAAAATGTTCCACTTTACTTTCAACACAGACTTTTTTCACAACTATGTAAGTATTGTTTTGATATGAATGCAAACAGCAGGATTTGTTAACTGATACCAGCTGCTTGTGTTCAATAAATAGAGTAACTTATATCGCTTGCCAAAGGTGGAAGTGGATGAAGCCACAGGAAACTCACGTTATCCAGATAATTTCCAGATTCTTTGTCACGTGGAGATTCTCGATGCAGATGGGAATCCATACCCTTCAGTTTCTAAGTCACGGAGTAATAGTTCAGTTCGAGACGATGGAGTGGAGCAGCAACGACCGCAACTACCTCCACAACGCCGCATGACAGCTCCAACTCACCAATCTTATCATGAATTTCAGATGCGACGTCAACCGTCTGGAAGGCCAGAAGAGACTCCACCGACGATGCAAGGGTGGCTGTTTAAACAGGGCGGATTTGTCAAAAACTGGAAAAAGCGGTGGTTTGTGGCCTGTGAGGGGAAAATGATGTACTATCACGGAATGTCGGACGCAAAACCTCTTGGTATAGTTAATTTGCGGCGAGTAACAGTCGAAGTATGTGAAGCTTATGAAGTGAATGCGCGAAACCAAGAGTTGCACTATTTTAAAGTCATGCCACCCAGTGCTGGTCAACGCACATACATTTTCGGAGCCGAGTCGGAACGAGACTTGGTTACTTGGGTGCGCGTTTTAGGTGCCCAGTCAACGTATGGTATTCTTGATGGCGTACTGCAACGAAATCCTAATATGCAGCGCAATGCTAGATATTCGTATCAGCAGGAGCATCAACCTCATGATTTTGGTCTGAATAGGCAACGGTACAACAGCAGAAGCTATCACTTTGGCGATCCAAGATTAGCGCCGTCGCCAATGTCAATGTCAATGCCAACAAATGGTTATAGTCCATCACATGACGAACGTCCATCGGCACAGTCGAGTGCTACGCGGCAAGCGTATCAAATGTCATCTAGTGATGCTCGTAACGCAGCAGATGTCATGCGAGGACGACGTGATACGATGCCAAGTGATCTATCAGAGGCTGTCCAACGAGCTCTTGCGATACGCTCTCTTTCTTACACTGACAATGACGAGCGTGGAAGCAATCTATTTCCATCAGCAGCTTCTGCCATGCAAAATTGTGTGCCAGCTGAGCCTGTGGCTGACTTGACGAATACACTTTCAGCGTTAGAACAAGCGTCGCTCTTGCAAGAAGTTAATGGATTTGCGACCGGAATTTATATCTACTCAGCCGATGAATTACAAGAGGCTGCACTATTGCAAAAGTATATGCGTGAGACACGCGGAGATCCAGATTCGATACCTTCAGTCGCAAACGGAACCAAAACATCTCCTCCGGGCTCTCTTTGTCAACAGCTTCAGCAATATGTGGAGCAAAACCGCATGAACGATGCTGAGCAATTGCTCACGGAACTTGTGTTGCTAAAGTTTCCGAGACTAGTTGATGCGATGGATCACGATCCATTAGCATTTACTAAGCTGATTGCTGGAGAAGATATTTGCGTGGCGACCAGCCGAGTAGAAGATCAGGATTACGAGTCTGACTCTGAAATGAGGCTCGACTCAAAAGGTCATCGACGAGCTCTTTTTTTTTAGAAATTGATTGTCCTTCAGTTAGATGTCTTGGTGTTTGATCGACAAAATGATACATATAATGACTAAGTCGGGTGCGAATCATTATCTTTATCTAAGTCAAATTTTTTGTAACAGCTCTCAAATAGCATTCGTAAACTAAATGAAAAATGACAGAAGTTTCATAAAAGTCAAAATCGGACCTCATCGTATTTTAATATTTTTTTCAGTAGCTAGTCTTTAAGCGGTGTTTGTGTAACGCGACAATGAAATTGCTTGGTTACAAAACAAGAACGTTTTGACATAAGCAGCTATCCACCGAATTCCATTGGCTTCGTTCACATTCTGCTGCATCATTTTATCATACAGTAAGTGGTTAAAGTAGTGGGCAAGATTGTTAGTAATTGACGTGCGAAGGTTCATACAGTCATGAGCCCTTTACTAGATTTTCGGACATTTTGCGAATCTCTGATACATAGTATTAATGTTATTACAGTAAAAATTCTGACAGCATTCTGTAGCATTTGTCCTAAGCACTCTGCAAATTAATTTTGTGGGAAATTGTGGTGCGTTCGACGTTGATAACTGTGAAATACTCTGATCAGAGGCTCAATAGTGCTCTTCGCAGGCGTATCTGTTCGCCCGAACGAGTAGCGTAATCTTACAGAAGCATGTCAGGTATGACGTTGTACGCATATGCATTGCGACTTTCTTTTTGCAAATTTAGAATGTTATTCCTACAGCATACTTTTTACTTACTATTTGTTACGCCCAATCTCGTACAGTACAACAGCCTGATATGTATCCACAATACCAAATGCTTCATCTACAGTGTAAAATCCAATAAAACATAACTTGCGGCTATTCTCCCCAATAATCATTGTCCATTAAGATGGCTGGATGATCTTGAGCATATATTTGGCATTCTCTTCTTTTATTAAATGCCATCTTGTTGTCGTTTCGAAAGTCGACACCTCTATAAGTTTGACAATTTTTTAAAAATCTCCTCGACAACATTTCAAAAATTAGTATTATTTACAAGGTAATCGAGATCATGAACCGTCGTTTGGCGAACAGGCGGACGTTTTTCAGGCTTGAGCTATTTAGACGTAAAGCTGTGAGGCAAGCAGAAAAAACGAGGTCGAAAATGAAGATATCGAGAATTTCGCTTCTAGTGGTGGTCAATATCCCGCTTTTGAACACTGTAAATGCCTCGTGTCTGTCGTCGTGTCAATCGCAGCTTGTGCACTACCGCGAAGAGGCGTGTCAAAAATGGCGTGAGAGACTACCACGCCCGGACTTGTTTAACCACTGCGGACAAGGATTTAACAAAGGCAAGACTGCTGGATGTGAAGGATACTGCCAGACGGTCCCTGAACTGGGCACTATGAAGTCGCTGCGTTTAGATGCCTGCGCTTCATTAAAGGGCCTTCCACCAAGCGAACGCCAACACGCGTGTCAGGCTGGATTTTCTGCCGCTTTGGATCTTGCAAAGGATGCGGCTGAGCCTGAAGTCATTCAAGAGGCTGTAGAAGTCGTGAAACCGAGCACTCAAGAAAGCCAAGGTGATGCGGAAAATGGACGTAAGCTTGAAGAAAATAGTGTTCCTAAAAAGAAAGTCAACGGGAAAAAAAGTATTTCAGGCACAGATCGCAGGGTACGCCGCTGTCTATCTATGTTAAGTAAAAACGCTGTGCTGATAAACACGTTAATTTGTAGAATTTGCTGGAGGATGCCCGTAAAGAGGCTGAGGCCGCCTTTGCAAGCGTGCAGGAGAATAAAGCAGCAGAACTTTAAATGAAGTCCCTGCGACACGTCAACGCATTGTCATCGCTTTATTCTAAGCTGCAAGGCTTAGTTTGTGGCTTAGATGATTTTCTCCTTTTAAAATTTGAAGTAGAAATAATGCGTTTCTTCTTCTGTCTCACATATATGCTAGCGATATTTCATAGCGAAACTTTAAGATTCTACAACAATATGTGTAATATGACTGATAATTTAGTAGCTTTTGCTGGTTTTAGCAGTACTAGCTACGGGATTTCCAAATTTGTGCAATTTAATAGCGCTTCCTTGCTGGGTCCTAATACAATTGTACCGCCTAATGACATCTACCGCTTGGGTAATCAAGAACGGTTAAAACTTATCCAAAAGACAGTGTTAAAGAGTAAATGAATGCGAATTGTCATCCGAGACCACGAAACATTCTCCAACTGCGGATCTACTCAATTAAATAAAATGGTACGATATACAAGAATGATAGAGGAAATATATGCTTGAGATAACCAGTTGCAGATCACAGCAAGCCCACAAATTTCAAAGCCTTGGTCTTAATTGGTCGAGAGTTCCAGACGGCCCACCTGTCGATAACGTCTTGAATGTTGTTCGAAACTTATGTCATCGTGCTATTAACGATAGCGATTTGATCATCGGTTTCAGCGAGTAACGAAAATGTCAAGTTTTGTGTCAGGAGTTGCTGCAAATTGTCATGCTTCAGAACGAAATTTTACGTTTAAACAATTTGATTTTTGACATTTTACAACTTCAATTCTAGATACTTTCAGCAGCCCCTACCACCAGCAATCAATAAGCATGAAGTACTTTCAAAGATAGCGAGGGTGTTGGCCATTAAGGACCAAATCAGAGCAAACGACAGGTATGCGACCGTAAGACCACCCAAGAGTTTGCTAGAACCCCCTGTGCGAGCAAGTTCTTGAGTCGCTTTTTTCTGAGGTGGTAGTAAAACTAAGAATCCCCACGAAAGGATCGTCATAACATACGAGATAATGACTGTAAATGTGATATCTTCACGAATCGAACGATCATCATTCTGCACACGAGCATTGGTGATGTCAAACGGTGCATTGATGATTAGAGTCAGTGTCGAAGCAAATGGTGCAGCCAAATTTCCGACAGTTGTCATGAGACCGTAAATGGCTCCTTCATGACCAGTGCCAGCAATTTCGACCGTAACGAAGAGAGCAATAATCCAAGCAACGCCACTTGGGATCTGTACAGCAATAGGAGGGCCGAGCCAGAACCACTGGTTACGAAAGATATCCCAAATGGTAATGAGCGCAACCGAACAGTCCACAGCAATAACAATTGCTCCCGTTACAACTATCATTGCACGCCAGTTCCAATGAAGTCCGTACTTTGATGTGACCATAATACCAGTCATGAAGCATAAGTGACCTAAGACTTCGTTCAGTGTGTTGTTAATTGGGGTAACACCCACCAGGTACGATTGTATTGGGGAGCTTGCCGTATACGAGATACTGGAAAAAATTCCAGCAAAGAAATGGTGAGCAATCACTTGGTACACTACACGTTTGCATAATAAATTCCAAAAATCACTGATATATAAACCAAAGTCAAGACGCTCGGCCTTCTCTTCTCTAATAAAAAACCACGTAAATGGGACAGCTGGAGCTGTAAGCAAGATTGAAATGATCATGAGCTGCGGAAACGTGAGGGAGAAATCAAAGCTACCGCCATAGTCTTCACCATTGAAGCAAAAACCAACGAGCAACTCACCAAGTATCACGAAAGTCGTACGCACTGCATAAATAGCTGATTGAGTTTTGCCTCGCTTGGCCAGAGGCTCTTGCTGGGCGAGTTCACACACAATGCTGTCGGAGCATACATCGGATAAAACGTAGCCAAATGCAGCAAAGAACATGAGCACGACGTACTTGGCACCTTCACTAGGGGCACTGTAATTGATACGGTCTTTAATCTCTGGTGTGTAGTCGGCCACGTTGACATCACGATCGGAAGCAACAGAGTAATACGGTGGGCCAATTGGCATAAACGCCATCATTAACAACATTCCAATACAAATTGACCAGCCAAGAAGCATGTATGGACGACGACGGTACCCGAAGATTGGGAAACAGTCAGACGTAATACCGTAAAAGACCTTAAAACTCCATGGCAAGATAACGAGTTCTTTGGCGGCAGAGACCTGAGCACCACTACAGTTGAGATACTGTTGCATAAGGGGATACACTGTACCAGGAAGCATACCGTAGACGACACCTACGGCCGCATACTGAAAGACGAGCCCAATATGATCACGACTCATTAAATTTGGCATCCCACCAGGACGGATGGCTCCGTCTTCGAGTACTTGTGAAATCTCACCGGGTGTCTTGGCTCCTGTAAAACCATCGTCGTGATCTTTCGTGACACTTTCTTTCGAGGCACTAATGACAGATAAACACTGGAGGTCAAGTCGATTCTGGCCATTGGGTGTCCGAGTCATTGCGGAGAAAGCTAAATGAATGTCAACTGTGTAGCTCAGATGCAAGAAAGAACCATGGATCAGGATATCTTGCTTTTATAGCAGACGCAGGGCTGAATCAGGACAAATCGCCAGGTTTATACACAGACTCCGGCTTGACCAGCTGAGAGTACCTTTGATACTTGACAGTCTATCCATACTTAGGTCAATACTTAGCTGTGAGTACATCTGTTGATATGCAGGATGGAGGCAGTAAATTATTACGCCATGTCTCGCCCAATCAATTGTCACAAATTCCTAACGTCGAAGCTCGCTAGCGAATTGCTAAGCAATCTAGGTTTTAGTAGCAACTTTTTTATCCACACGCTACTTAATTGAGTAGCTGACAGACGTTATGATACATACCAACGTGCTGTTACAATACTTTCTATAAAAACTGGCAATGCGAGCTATCGCTACTCTCTTCTAACCCCACACTGAAGATGTAGGTGATACACTACCACGTCAAAATGAATTGGACAAATGTGTAGACAAATAAAGTTGCTATCGAAGTAGCTCTTAATTACTTGTCCCATATAGTGCAGCTATTGACTGTATCATGTTATATCAAGAATTCGATTTTGATATGACGAAGTACTATTATCAGTATACTAGCATTTTTTCCTATTTATCGAAAAACGATCCTGACGCTGTATGAATATACAATGATATATATATTTTTTTCAACTTTGATATTTAGTGCGAGCGTCATACTCCGGAGTATATCATATTAAAATGTAGGGTTGTCTAATTAGCGAAAGGTTCTGACTCAGGTTCTTGACGGCAATACAAACATTTCGTCAAATCAAACAAAAGGTTGTCAACATATTCTGCAAGATTCATCATGTCGATGTAATAACCTGAAGGGTAGCTGCAACACAAAATAGAGTCGCAATCACGCAGACAAATATCAGCAGAGCTAATCGTATCATACGCTTACGATTTGTGCGCCAGGGGATAAGGCGAATGTAAAAGATAAGTGGAAACACGTAGCAAAGCATCAGCAAGATACTCGAACCAACAAACGAAAACACCACGTGAATCCCGGGCACTCGCAAAGCGCAGATTACCTGAGCAACCACCAAAGATATAGTCACAATGGCCTGCACAGCTCGTGGCGGAGCTATCGCGACCTCTTCGAAGCTTTCATCGTGAGGATTGCTGGAGAGACAAGTGACATAAATCTCAAGCATCAACGAGCGCAATGGATGAAATAACAGTGGGAAAGATAACAAAATTGTCAATAAAATTGCCACGCGAGGTACCTCCATTATAGCATCGTTTGAAAGATTCAGCAATATATTGCCCAATGTTTCATGGCCGTAGATTTGCACAGCGCAAAGACCAAAGATTGCGTAGAGTAAAACACAAGATCCAACAGCTAGAATTAGATGACGTTGCATAGTCAGTTGAGCACTTTCAAGCACAGTCACCATCGCCTTATTAGTTTCAAAAGCGTCAAGTTTATTGTTAAGCACCTTAATCTTTCTCGCCATCTCAGCTGCTACTAGCTGCGCAAATAGCGGGATAATGTTCAAATGTAGCATGAACGCGAAATTGTAGATTCCCACAACCTCCGAAATACGCCAGAACAAAGGTGCAACAGTTTTTGTCACTGACTCTGACGTTCCAACAGCATACGAACGATTATTTTCAGTACTTTCAGTTGCAGCACGGTAAGCAACTGCACCCACGAGATAAATCGAAAAGGCGACTCCCAAATATGATGAAAAACGCAGCGCTGAGATTTTTGTTAGACATCCAAGTGGTAACAACACAATCAACATAACAGCCCAAACTGCTATTTTCACTGCTAGTTGCCGTTCCTCCAAACTTTTCTGTTCAAAATTATATATCAATGCAGACAACATTATCGGTGCCATGTCTTTTACCACGCATATGCAGCCAACGCACGCTCCAAAGACTGCAAATGCAGTCAAAGCTCCAGTCAGTCGAGCCATTAATTTGCCACCAGCTTTCCATGCTAAAAACTGATACGAATCTCGATTTGTCCGCCAATCACTGATATTGTTCATTGCGACTACCACATATATACCCACAAGTGTATCAGCTGTAAATGCCATCGCCATTCCCACAAATATTAAGATTGAAAGTGCTTGGAAAGGCGATAATAACACAAACGTCAAGGGAACTGATAATGTACCCGCACCAATGGCCGACATTAGAAGTGTGAACGGCACGGCACAATTGCGACCAATCCATAGATGCAGCAACGCACAAGTTGTTAATGCAGGCTTGGAATCTCGTACATTAGTAAGCTTTTTGGAAACAATAAGTGGAAATCCAGCTTCGAACGAATTGCGACGATGATTATGCTTTTGGGACGGAAGAAGCTCTGGAGACAATGGGAGTAATGGCGAGATCTCGTCCGAGGTTGACATGAAAGTTTATGGCTATTTTCAAGAGAGAATAAAAAAAATGCCCCAACTTTTGCCACATATAAAAAAAATATCCCAAC